AGAGAATAAGTTTGAGTTTTGGATGTGGACACGAAGAAAGGAATTCGAATTCACGAAATTTAAACACTTCTAATCACGCTTTAAGACTCTATTCCAGTTTTCCAATTTGTTCTTATCGGCTTGATCGTTCCGGACTGTTCAGTGTTTATTATCATAGTTGTTCGATGAAAGGGCAAAAATAACGCGAGAATTTCAAGCGGTATGCTGGTGTTATTGTGAGCGAATTTTGTGGAAATTTACCGATAAAAATCACTCAACAGCACTTGCAAAACAACACGAATGAATGAATAAAATGAATAAATACGAATGAATGAATAAAATTGAACGATTCATAAAAACAAATTTGTTCTACAAAAACTCGCTCATGAATATGTGAATATAGACAAACACTTCATTAAAATTGTGAAATATCTTCAACAATTCATCGTCAAATTCTTCATTTCAAACGTAAATAAAACTGACAATTTTAAAATGAAATTGATGAAGTGCACGTATGAAAGCGGTTGATTGTAAGCAATTGCAAGCAACTTGAACCTGACACAAAAACCTTATTTGTCTGAAATGATTCGTGAAAGAAATATTACAACGAAACGAATTCGAGGATGATCAAGTTTCATGCAACCAAAACAGAAACAAAAAAAAACAAGTTATCGACAGAAAAGTAACTAAAAAAATACTTGAATTGTTGATGAAACAATTGGAAAATGGAGAATTTTGGCAGCGAAGATTCTTTTTTGAAAACCTGATTATGAAAATACAGAAAATTAAATTGGAATATTTCGATGAAAACAATTTTTTGATGGATTAATCATGATAACAGTAATTTGGAGTGTTTTGTTACGATTTGATAAGAATGGTGAGTTTTCGTTTGCTTTTGTTTTAGATTTTTGTTTGATTGGTGAAAAATGGTGAATTGGAGGAGCACGGATTTTTGCTTTCAGAGAGTCACTTCGGCTAGGAATATGATAACGACTTGATTGAATAAATATTCACGTTTATTAATATTCATTGATGGGGCTGTCACTTTTTGATGGCTCGTCAAAAATGCAGTCGAATAATTCATAAGTTAGGCGCAATTTTTTGAGTTCTACATTTAGGCACGTCTACAGACCTCTGAGAGGGAGGGTCGATGTCTCTCAAGACCTCGAAAGTACCCAGAGGTTCCTGTGGGTGCAGGCAAAGTCGGACGCCCCAGAGACCATGAAAATGCTCGGGTATCCCAGAGGCTGACTCCCTGAGAGTAAGGAATAGGGTCGTGGCCAGTAAGAGCTCGAACGTGCCCGGCACCTCCGAATCTGTTGGGTTTTCGATCCAACCCCAAGGGCTGAATCAATCCTGAGACCATGAGGCCGAATTTTCCGAGAGTAGGGATTGCGATCAGTAACGCCCTGGGGACCTCGCGAATGCTGCTGGCTCGAGGGCCTCCGCTTTCCAGACGTCGGTTTTTTTTTCCGGAAGTAATAAGTTGAAATGGATTGTGTTGCTATCATTGCTAGCAATATTATTGCTAATTAATTAACATTCAGTTATTACCACTCAGCATCACAATTAACATTCATCATCGCTATATGTTCTCATGATTGAATTAACATTCAGTATTATTTTCATTTCTCATAATGATTGAATTCTGTAGCCGTGAACACTTTTTTCTGCTTGAAAGTCTAGCGGAAGCATGCATGCATATTAATGTGGAGCGTGTTGTTCGTTCCACTGATTCGATTTCGTTTTGCTGCATTATGAGACAATATGATCATTGTGTGGTGATGAAATTGCTCGATTACGACTACTCATTCAACGTTTATTACAGAGATACAGTTCGCGTCTGTTGCATGAAGAATGTTTGCTGCAGTCAGCTAGCAGACGTAAACAACCAACAACAACGTTATCGTATCATACTCGATTGTTGACTTGACCTTGATTTTGAGCACTGGTTTTCGGTGCTATTTACAGTCTGTGCTCTAGACAGTCTTGGAACACAAAATCAAGCAGTTATACAAAAATATATTATTACAAATAAAAAAACAAATCGTAGGTAAAAATACAAAATTACATTTTTTAAAAATAAAACAGTGTGTGCGTGTCTTCGTGCAATTTGTTAATTCTTTAATTCCATTATTTATGAGAAAATTTACAAACGTTTAAGAAACTTCTGCATTAAATTAAATTAAGTATCGGATGAGTTTGGAATCGAATCAATCAATGAGTGCTGCTGCTGAGAGCGGAAGATTTCTGAAGTGATCGATCCGAGTGCGAAACGTCACGTTCTTGACGAATTGTTGCAAACTGATCGAAATATCTTGCTGAAAATCTTCATCATATAATCATATAAGTGGTGAAACTTTTTAGAGCCTTCAATGTCAAATTGTTTTGTACGGTTCAAAGAGAATGACCCCGTTTGAGCTGAATATCATAGTCATGTTAAGTGAATTTATCAAAGTTTAATTCAGTGTTTCAGTGTTCTGCTGATGGTGTGCAGTTGATAAGGCGCATTGTTGCTATTCAAACTGAGATGTTTAAACCAAACCGTCAAAAATTAAATCAAATCAAGGTAAAATTAATCAAATCAAGTCAAAAAAGTCAAAAAATGAATCAAAAAAAATAGATCAAAGTCCATTATAATAGATCAGCCTAAGATGTTTAAGATTCTGCATAAAGTTCACAAAATTTAGAAAATTCATCTGGTTTATTTCATTCGCAGAATTTGAAATTTATTAAACGATCTGCATAAGTTAAAAGAGCACGATGGTATTATTCTTGAGAAGTGGACCACCAGAAAAGAAATCCATGAACTGACAGTTAAATCTTATAACCAATTTCTGTAGTCTATGTTCCGCAAAATTATCAGTAACTGATGGAATAGGTTAGCGATTTAAGAACGTAACTAACCAGTCATGATAACTGTAAAAATAATAATAACAACAATAAAACTAATAAAATTCTAAACGAACATGTTATAAAGCATGTGAGATATGTGCATGGTGCAGGGGGTTGTGGCTCTGAGTCAGCTGTTCTCGGTCTCGGTCTCGGTCGTGCTGAGCACAGCCATAGCGTTGCGATCAGCAAAATCAGTAGGGTTTTGTAGATCATCTCAGGATCACAGTGGCTTTATTGCTTGATGAATTTGTTTCGAAAAGGACTTATTAGCAGTTACGCTTGACGAATCTATAAATTCGAATCAATTCGGAGAGGTTATTAGGGATTGCTGATAGATAGCTGAATGAAGAAAGAACCATAACAACAAGAACAAAGATGATGACTTTAGCAATAATAAACGCATTGCACGTTTGCAACTGCTGTCCAGCAACCAGTTTCACCTAACTGAAGTTATCAACTCAGAATGAATCCATTATAAGTTTTTGTTTGGAAAAAGATCGCAATTACTTAATAACTGCTGGATATTTTCACTTTCGTGGAGAATTTTTCATTTATGGAGTTTCTTTTTTTTTGAGTGTTTGCAACCGTTGAAGAGACGAGACGATAGTCCTGGGAGTACGAGAGGACATGTCATTAGCTATACATTTCGGCCATCTCTACCTTTATTCTCGAATAAGCTGTTACTGTATGGAGTGCGATAATACTGTGAGATTGTTTGGAAGTGTGGAATATCAAGAACTTGGGAACTCTTGAGCAGTTTGTTGTACGGTCTTTTGAATGCGATGAGAAGTAAGGTTTTATTTGTGTGCATTCTATTGAAGGGGCTAGATGGAATCGAGACTGAGAATGGTGTATTTACGCATAGTTTCAAAATTTAGTTTCAAAGTGACGATCCCGTTGCTAATTAATGGAACAATAAAGCAAGGATGAGTAGAAATGATAGTGAAGCAGTTGACGAGTACGACAAGCAACCAGTTCTGGATTCATAAAACAAGTGAATGAACGTGATGGCATCATATATCTTGTCTGAACAAATGACAAAGGTGGCTTGATTGCATTCATTATGATATCTTTCTTTCGTGTATGTCTGAAAGTTATCTTTTGCTTTGTGGTGATTTTTTGTAGCGTTTGTGAGAAGGCTTCCGGACGTATTTCATTCAAACTTTGGACGACGAAACAACTTTATCAACGGGCAGATTGATAAGAACATCGAATTACTGATTACGATAACAACGCTCCTATGGTAACAATAGTGATAGCTGAAGCTTAGAGAATGATAACAATAATCATGCAGGTATATGGATGCGAATAGCTGCATACAATTTGGCTTCTGGCTCCTTTATTTATGTGTATAACTGAAAAACGTTGAGGAATTAAAAAAGGTACTTGATAATTTTGAGAAATCGAGCTAGAATGTACTCGAAGATACAGTAACCGAATGCTATCTGGGGCTTGAAGCAAATCAGTTTTCATTACAGGAAACTGAAGAATAGGATGTTTTTCAATTTGGCTAGTTAAAAATGTTTCGAAAAATTCTAAGCAATTGCTCTGCAATAGTTTTATTTCAGCTGTGAATGCATGAAACAGAAAATTTTAAAATCATTGAATAAGCGATGGAAAGATGCGTTCCGAAATGATAGAGTATGGAAGCGTAAGAATTTCTTTTAAGCATCAAAAACCTACCAATATAAACTACTAGTTTCAAACTATCAATCATTTGATCAGTAACGATTCTCTTCGTTGAACCTCTAGAGCGTTCGGTGTTCGTATTGCTCAATAGCTGATCAAAATATTCATGTCTTTTTTTTGATTTGTCTCCTCGATTCCCAATTTTCAATCCAATAACGCACTAGAATTTCTT